GTTAAAAAGTCAATTTGGTCGAGTTCCGACCCAACTGAAAATTCGTTCGGTTGCCATCACTATTATAGAGTGATTCGTATTTTTCACATGAAATGGAACTTGAGGGATGGGAAGTATGAAGATTTTTTTCGAAGATTATGAGTGACTAATGTTACGCTATGATAGTTCTTTAAGCCCTTTTCGACTTTCATAGACTCAGCTGAGAGCAACTGAATAGAAACGATGCATACAGACTCTTATCATAATGTCTTTATCAGTTCCGTGTTTTTAGCCGTCCTATTCGCTACTTGGCGAACGATATGCTGGATTGTTTCATAGGGTTGAGAGTGTTTTATCACAGTGAAATGGGACTGCAGGGATGGAAAGCATGACGATATTTTTGGAAGCTTATTAATATGATGCTATGATAGTTCTTTAGGCCCTTTTAAACTTTCATGGACTCAACTGAGAGCAATTGAATTAAAAGGATGCATGCAAGTTCTTCTCATAATGTGTCTTTATCAGTTCCACATTCTTAGCTGTCCTTTTCGCTCCCTGGCGACCAACCATAAGTTGAATTGTTTGATGGAGAAATGATTGGCATTCGACCGAACAATTTTGAAGTTCGGTCGGAATTCTGAATGTCAATTTATTGCGGAGTTGATTTCAGCTATTATTATGCCTTTTGTGTTCGACAGCATTGCCACTCACTGGTGCTGGACTAAAACTCTTGCCAGTCGTGCAGTGTGTGGCTCTTTTAACTACCAGGTAAGCGAGGTTTGATTGTAACTTTCATGGATGCATTTAGCAAATTTGAAAGGAGCGCAAAGCTTTCATTCGTCCACTCATTCACTATATATCTGAGGAACGACGAGTCACCACCCCTATATTGTTGTGTTGCACAAATCACAATTGATAAAATTTACTCAGTTGTTTCATTTAGAACAAAATAAAACACTATGATTAGAACAATGCGATCAATACACAATGAATGCGATCTGATAAAATTTCATCTATTGAAATTCAATAAAAGTTTCCATTTTCAAGACAGCAAATAAATGGAGTAGAAAACTGATAGGATGGCTATGAGACCACAATTTCTTTAGGCATCTTTATTTATGTATATAAAGGCGAGGTATGAAACACGATCAAAACACCTCAAAATCTACAAATTCGTATGTAATTCAACGATAAAATAAATTATCGAATGAATAGTCAAACAGAAATTGTATTCACTTTAAAAAAACATTTTCGAAATTGAATCATTTAACTTACTTCAGTTTATTCGGCTCACCAGTGACAACGAATGCTTGAGAATGTAACACATTTTAGGTATTCTGTACCTGATTTCCAATGAACAATCCAAAAATTGAATAGCAAAGTTTTCGAATTGTAAATTAAAACGGACGAACTGAAAAACCATTTTAAATTGAACAGAACAACAAGTGACACATGGCGTGCCGACGTGAAGTGTGACATGAGCTCAAATGTAGACGGTAGATAAAATGTAGAAAAAAAGGGTGGAGATGCTTATTCGCACTTTGACTGGAAGTCAGCAATAAACTAGAACTCAATGGCATCATTTTCTCGAACGTCTTCTTCATTATCGTCTTGTTCATCCGCGAAGAACTCCTCAATAATTCTATAACTGGTCTCGTATATTCTCGCATTTTCATTTCCTTGTAATTCTTCCAGTTTGTCGAGTCCTTCACATCCCTATAAATTTATTTTCTCATATATACAAACACAGAAATAGCATGTCCATACTCTCACCGTGAGCTGTTATGGAAAAAATCTTTCTCAGTTGTTCATCAGTGAACCGATATGCTCACAGAATTAGAAGTTCAAATTTCAAAAACTAAAAAGTTTGAATAGACAGTTCGAATGAACCGAAAACAACAACAACGACTCACCTCAATCCAATCTTCAATCTGTTTCAGTTTATCTGGATACAAGTTCTGAACATTCCTCAGCATCGCCAACAGAGTATCAAGAAGGTTACAAACGAAATCAGCGTTTGGCAGTTTAAGCAAATTACATAACACTGTTACGTATTCTTCGCTACACAATTCCATTATCTGCGCGGCCGAACCACCGTGCGCCAAATTTGACACTGCCCAACTGGCCTCGAATTTCGAACGGAAATCACCCTATAAATTTCATCACTGATAACAGTGAAGCGTTATAACAAATTGGTAGTGAGAATGGTTACATAGAAGCAATGGAGAACAAAGACACTGTACTAACATCACGAAGAGCAGTGAAGATGACGGGCAGAAGACGTGCGTTGAGAAGTGATTGAATCTGAGACTGAGTGCCAGCAAGTATGTTCGACATCATCCAACAACATTCTTTTTGAATCGACTGAGATTTCGCATTATGCACCACATCTTTTATCAGTGATAATATACCGGCATCAATAACCATCTTAAAATATCACACATATATATACTCTAAGTCTCACTGATCGCAGATTTTGAAATTTAAAATGTTTTGTTTCCTCAATATCATTCGGCAATCCATGTGTTCATCAGAAGAACTGTACAAGTTGTTATCATTGTTCATGGAAAATTTATTTCGATACGGTTCAATGAGTTCGATCGTGAATGACAATCTTATGGTTTTGGCCAATGATCAAATGATATTATAATCGTTCCAATTAGCATTCTACAGCAAAATGATTGGAACAACGTCGAGAGTGAGCGAATTTGAAACAACCTGAGTTAGGCAGTCGTTGCCCGTAGCAAAATTACCGAACACACGGATGGCTGGTGCAACTTCGGCATCATTTCCAGATTTTATCAACGGTATAAGATGAGCCAAGCTATTCGCATCACTCGCTACCTTGATCTGTTCATCTGAGCCGTCGGTAAGGTAGCTTAACGCCCAACAAGCATCTTGACGTGCCACCTTATCCTACAATTGAGATTCTTTCGGAAATAACATAAACTGAAACAAATATATGTCCCTGCTGGTGTCCTTTAAATGTGCAAATTTTGACTGTTGCTAGACAAGCAACAAAACATCTGAAAATATTATATCAGATCACCTGGAATAGTGGACCACAATTTGAGAACATGACGGAATAAAACCCAGAAATAGAATCGAATAACAAAATTTGTACATCTATTATGAGCACACATAATCATGAAAAAATTGGAAACTTACATCCTGTGAGAGTAGTTTGATGATACCAGGAGCGAGACGACGGAGGTAATCGACTGAAAGACACGGTTTCTTGTGTCTACACATATTGGAGTAGGTCCATGCTAATGTTCGAATAAAATCTGTGGATAACTCGTCGGTTTTTTGGATTATAGTCTCTAATGCGGCTATAGCACCACATTCTATTGCATGATCACGCAGTTGAGCGGAATCACCGATCACATTTGCCAAAGCCCACATTGCCTCAAATTTATCACTATTTGTATTGGTAGGAAACGATGAATGCACATAGTCTTCAGAAAACTTTATAAAGATGTACGAATTCAAAGAGCATGATTGATATCATTCGAAAGAGTTCAATTAGCGAGCGCTACCTGCTCAGCAAGAGCTCTGTTTTTGGAATAGCACAGCTGAATTAACGGTGTTACTGCGCCGTGTGTGACAACTGCCATTGTTTGCTCGCTGGTTCCAGAAACAATATTGGTTATGCACCAAGCTGCTTCGAACTGTATTTTTTCATCCTGAAAAATTCTTTGCTTATCACCATTCCGCATGAACAATGTATGTGATCCCGGAAGAGTTCTTCAACGAGGACTCATAGATGAAGCTATAATTCGTTTAAATAGTCATTTATTGAAAAGAACTATAAAAACTGCTGAAAATACTTACAGGTACACTCAATGCTTGGACGAACGCAATGACCAAACCGGATGAGATGACTTCATCGATCGGAGGATTCTTCGAACGTGATAAAAGACGTCTCATTGATTCGAAACATGTTTGCATTTGTGGCACCGTTGGATTATTTTGAAGTATGCGTACAGCTTCTTCAATTGACAATTTCGGTTGTGCACCTTCAATAATATCAGTTAAATATGACCATTCGACACGAATTATGATTTGCAATAGATTCATGATGAAATCGATGAATGAATGACAACCTTTTGTTGATGTGTCTATGTTTTGTTCATTTGATGATTCCTCAGATTCGAATTGTTCGCTTAAATCAACATTTCGTCTTTTCATCATTTCATCGTCCCTCTTCTGTTTACGCAGCTCAACACTGCATTCCGTTCGACGGCGTCGCAATTCCTTGAATTCAACCCGCATTAATTTTCACCGAATAAATAGATCACTGAATAAACGGATCATTGAGGAGATCTAGAAAGAATGTTAAACGCACAAAAACAATAAGTGAATAAAATAAAGCATAATTGCCATGAACGAAAAAAATAAAGATTACATCGTGCTTGCCAACATTCTTGTATTGTTTCAGTCTTGTATCAGCACCATCTTCTACTTCTTTATTCATCTTTGTTTATCAACGATAAATGAGTCAAGACTTCCTAAAACCGAATATAAAATTAAACCAACGAATTTAGTTAAATGAAGGCATCCTAACCGAAGTGATTCAGGAACGAATTCAGAAGATGATGAAGTTAATGAATACGGGTATAAACAGACATATATCTATTTACATTCATATTAACTTATTTACTCCCTAAATTCACAAATAAATCAGCGCATCGCAACACAAACTATAATAACATATTAAAGTAAGTCAGCGATAGTCAAGACTGCCAACAGAGTTGAGAACGATCAAAGTAAACTTTTCTCAGAGTGATCCAGCAACAAGAATTCAAACTTCTAACAACCGAAACGCATATTTTCACCACTTCCACCGAAAATAAATTGTCCCAAAACAGAACATTTCCATTGTCCTTTTCATAAATTTAAAAATTCCCGCGCAGACTCAGCGCAATATTCAAAATTTTCAATGAGGAATATCAATCAAACGAAGGCAAAATAGGAGCTGAGCAAATTTTCGTGTCGGTTAGAATCCCGTCGGCATGACTTTCCTTCATGCAGACAGTCGGCATTACGACCGACCCTCCAAACTGCTCGATCGGAATCCGACCGTCAGAATCTCGACCGAAATTGTCGGATTTTTCCGACCAACCGACCGACAGTTGAATGCCATCACTACATTATACATAAATAACAGTAATAGACCACAACAGATTTCCATATATGTGTATCTATTGATCGCTAATATCATTGGTTTTCTTGATTCGAGTTGTGATATACCAAGATGACACACTTAAATTATCAACTTCCGACAATTCTCACGCAAATCAACAACAAAGAGTTTGTCACTCATCTTGTTGTTAGTGAAGAAAAGATCCACTTTTTCAAGCAAAGTTCTTCCCTCTTAAGATTACTTCGAATTACTTGAAAATAAAAAGACAACATAAAAAGAATCGTGCGCAACTTCATTTGAGTGTACAGCTGATACACTGATAAATTTCGATGAACAACTTCCACTAAAAATAAATCAACGAATGGATTAACTGCTGCAAGAAGAGTGTCCCAGTAATACAAGCGTTGAACTTCTTTATTCCTGCACGAATACAACTTGTCAAAATAAAATACAATTGGAAGGTGATGCCGAAAGCTGCTGAACGACAAAACGCATTCGATTCGCTACGAAAAACAGTCGCTGACCAGGTTTACCAACATAAAACAGCGTAAAACTTATGATAAGAGCACATTTCAATTCATTTCGTTACATTTAAACTTGAATCATTTGTGCGTAAAGAAACAGAAGAGAACATCTTGAATATGACAGAGTAATTGAGAAAATCTAACATGGAGCACACTTGAAATGGGAGGGGGAAGGGAGTAGAAACAATTGAATCTATCATCCTACCAATAATAACGGATTAATATTCATATACTCAAAAGAGGTTCCACGAACCATCCATTTCATTTCAAATGAATGATAGATAGTACATTGTCGTCGATGTCAGAACATATGAATATCTCGAAAGAATAAAAATGTAAACACACCCAAAGAATACACAGTGTCTGCAAGGAATGACCAATACTCGTACCGTCAGCGATTCTTTTCAACAGCAACAATTTGCATTCAATTTCCAAATGTTCATTCAAGAGGAGCGACTCTGATCTCCAAAAAATTTTTACGGCAAATTTCAAGAGAGGCAACCCTGATTTCCAAAATATGGCCATGGGAGAATATGTCCAACTGTTCCAGCTGGATTAAGAATCTCAAGCTATAGCAACTCGCACGTGAGTAGAACTGGAACCACTGAACTGGTAATGATTCGCCTTTATTCGATGAATCCGTGACCTCATGGACGCTCATTCACCTAACTATGCCTCCGACTCATCCAAAAGTCAGTTTTCTGATAGAATGATAACATCCTCAAGAGACTGACTCTGTGCGTAACGAAATGATACAGGAACACCAAGGAAAAGTTTAATATATGGTTGTAAGTGAACAGGAAAAGATCGCAAATTAGCTACAGATATTATATTGCACAATTTGTTGTTGAGGTGTATGTGCCATCGAATCATCACGAGAAGTTCCACAAGGAAATGCGAATTCATTCACCGCGACTGACGAACGATACGATACCGTTTTTCGAGGGTCTCGTCTCTAATTCATACCAAAACCGACGTACACAGTCAAGCCATTTTTGCCAGT